CTTGAGGACAATTTCATCTCCTGGGAGAAATGAGGGAGTATTGGAATAGAAGTAACAATAAGTGGGTTAAGTATCCACATCCTCATATTTTATGACACCAGGGAAGTGAAGGCAGGCGTATTGAGAATTGTGCCCCTATCTGAATGAAGCAGTTTTCCAAAATTTTAAAGAGAACTCTTTGGGTGGTGTGGTCAATAGAAAGATCTCCGGAGAAACTAGGGCATGGTTGCCTAGCATACCAAATGGCTGTGGGCAAATGAGGAGGAGATCAGAAATAGCCCCCTCAGCAAGTCTTTGAATGCATGAGTGGAGCTAACCCAAGACATGTATTATCAGAGGTCACTCGACTTAGGTCCAGAGAAAAGAGCAGCAGATACAGACAATGTACCTGGCTCTCACGTATTTTTAAAAAACAAAACAACAACAACAACAACAACAAAACTTTAACTATGTTTCAAATTAAGGCTCAACATTAACACATCTATGTTGACCACCCACTGTGTGTCAGACTGGGGATACAGCAGCAAGCGGTAGGCTTTTTCCTAGAGCTTATCAGTATCACCATCTAATCGTGCTAACATTTTTGTCCATAGGGTTGCCATGGGGAAGTCCCTCTGATACTGCACAAGAGCTGATTGACCCCAAGGTCCTATTAACTGGGAAGCTATTCATAAAAGAGAAATACTTCAAGATAGCCAGACACAAAGAAAAATACCATTGTCTTAGTCCATTTTGTGCTGCTGCAACAGAAATACCTGATCTAGGTAATTTATAATGAACAGAAATTTATTGGCTCACAATTCTGGAGGCTGGAAAGTCCAAGGTTGAGGGGCCAGCATCCAGCAAGGGCCTTCTTGCTGCATCACCTGATGGTGGAAGGCAGAAGGGCAAGAGAAGGCAAGAGGGGGCTGAACTCGCCCTTTTATAACAATCTACATCCATGATAAACCCACTGCCGCAGTAATGGTATTAATCTATTCATAAGTGCGGTGCCCTCATGACCCAAACACCTCCCATTAAGTCCTACCTGTCAACAGCTCTGCATTGAGGATCAAACTTTCAACACATGAACTTTGGAGGACACGTTCAAACCAGGATATTGATAGCCAAAAATTATAGACACATCCAAAGTAATTGCCTTATCAGGTTTCTTGTTTCCTTCGAATGAAAAGCTTCCAGAGAGCAGTAGTGGTAGAGAAGGAGTCCTTTAAGTCAAGTGTAAAAGCATACAGGACCCAAAATAACCCAGAAGTAATGCCATGTATTATTGCAAGATCAGATATCTGCCAAGTTTTAACAATCTATTTATTTTATTTTATTGGTTTGAATAAAGTGACTTTAAAGAATATAGGCTTATGGGCTGAGCCCGTGGCGCACTAGGGAGAGTGTGGCGCTGGGAGTGCAGCAGCACTCCCGCCGCGGGTTTGGATCCTATATAGGGATGGCCGGTGCACTCACTGGCTGAGCGCGGTGCAGCCGGTCTTAAAAAGGACAAAAAAAAAAAGAATATAGGCTTATTTCATTTGTGCTTTTGAAAAGGGGTGGGGGGAACAGGGTACAAATAAATATTCTTTCTAGTTTGTATCTTGAGACCCACAGAGGGACACAGTAGTGGTAACGGGGATACATGAAAGTCCTGGGGGAAGATAAAAACCCAAGGATATGCCACCGTGATGGTTGCGTCCATGCCTTGTGATCAAAATATTTTCTGTCCTCAATTAAGCATCTTTGGGGAATTTTGTTCTTTGCTGATTTAGGAAAATAATATACTCTCATACTCTTTAACACCCTAATCTAATTGTTTATAAACACATCACTTGCTTTTACTAAGCCTCACTTTTTATCAAATTTTAACCCCATATAGCCTCTAAAAATGCTATAGAGCGCTGCGATGGTGTAATGGAAGGGAATAGCCATTGCATGTCTAAATAATTTTCCAAGATAAACATATGAATATAATTTTGTTTATTAAAGTCAGAAAATGATCTTAAGGTTTTTTTCTTTGTTTCTTGTTCAGAACTATAAGCACTGTTTTTCTTATGCTATTGGAAAACCAGGGGACTTAAATCAACCATATGAGATTATCAACCATTCTAATGGTAACCATTTATTTTGGCCCGAGGGCCATTCCGGAATGTACATTTTTTGTGTGAAGATCCTGGATCCAAACTATAGGTAAATATAAAAGTTTTATTATAATAATTTTAGCATTAGTTCCTCAAAATTAAATTACTATTTTCTTGAGCTAATTTGATGCCACCTAGACATCCAATTGTTGTTATTATTGTTATGTATATATTTGCTTTTTCATTCTATAGCAATCACATTAAACATTCTATGGAGATGGAATATTTTATGTTAAATGTTAATTAAATTAATTTGCAATTACATGCTGAGTATATTACTATGTTTCATCACCAGGATTGATCCAAAAGTCACATAAGCACAATTTCAGTCTTCAAGGTGCTTATGATTAAGCCACTTGGGGAAGGAAGAGGGGGTACACATATAAACCAAGAGAGGTTAAATCAGAGCAATCACATAGATACTTTTCAAATATAATCATTTATATTATTGAAAGGCACACTAATAATTCAAAGATGGGAAAAAGTAATGCTATTTTGAGCAGTAGAAGAAAACTTTCTGGAGAACGTGGAACATTAGTAGCATTTACATTGACAGAGGACTAGGATAGACACTTCAGGTGAAAGAAATCACACCAATAACAGAATGGAGCTAAATGTTAGAATATTATCTAAGGCTGTGAAGTCAAGAAGAAAGGTGGGAAGTATCCTGAGTGAGGAAGATAGAAAACAAAGGAATGTTTAAGCAAATTTTAACCCATGTCCTAGAGAACCTCCTTAGTATCTCCACTAAGGGAGAGTCATGATGAAAACATAACTCTCAGCAAATTAGCCTGAGAATAGCATAAAGAATAGTGTAGAAGTAAAATAAACTCTACATAAATAAATGAGAAAAGTTACCAAGGCAAGAGGTCAAAGAAAGGCCTAGTGTCAGTAAGAAAGAAAAAGGGAAAAAGTCGAATAAATATGTGTCCAGAAATGAGAGATTATACTGATCTAATGTTGCAAATGAAGGAAAAGAAGGAATCGGTATGGTTTTTAAATTTTGTGGACTGTGATTAAAATAATGGCATTTTCTTTGAACATCATAGATAACAGGTGGTTTTTCTTTGGGGGAGGTGTTAAGAGTTCTGACATTGAATTTGAGGGTACAACGAGATATCTGAGTGTATGTATTCTATAAACAGTTAAAAATTATTATTTGGGTCTGGAGTTGGAGGGAAAGCTGATGATAAAAAGTTAAAAATACAAATATGGGTATCTTTTATAGTGGTTCCATGAGCATACATAAGTTGACTGACCAATTATAAAGACAGAAGAGAAGAGCTTTGGAAGATACTCATGGTTAAGGAACTGCAGGTGTTGAAAAAAAAGGGACAGAGCAGTAAGCTCCCAAATAAAAGAAAAAATGAAGAGAAAAAAGAGAAACTTGATAGAAAAATGCCATAAAACAGAGTACTTAAATGTGATTCTCACTGCCTTACGGTTTGAGCAGAGACCTCCAAAGCCAATCTCTCCCATGTTCTAAAATCATAATCATCAATGCAAGACTTGAAAACAGGGTGTCCCCTATTGGCCTAAAAAGAAACTGAGGCCCAATACATACAGTAAGGATTTACTGAGCCAATATGATGATTGCAACCGAGACACATCGTCAGGTCACCCTGAGAAATGCGTTCTGAAAAGGGCCAGCAAAAGCTTAGCATTTTAGAATCGCCCAATACATACAGTAAGGATTTACTGAGCCAATATGATGATTGCAACCGAGACACATTGTCAGGTCACCCTGAGAAATGCGTTCTGAAAAGGGCCAGCAAAAGCTTAGCATTTTAGAAT